TATCATTCCATCAGAACCTCTGCTTTCTGATGAATATGTTTTTATTCCCTACACTTCCACTCCATTTGATGTCATTCCCTTTGCATTAAGTGTTAAACCATTTCTGTTTCACAGCTCATACAGATTCAAAACCTCTACTTCATCATCTGACCACCATTTTTTCCTTCTTATCCTCGTCCTCTGTTTATTATTCCAACTTTCACCATACCACCTCCATCAAAACCAATCAAACCATCAACTCTGGAAGCCCTTCTTAAACCAAAACCTAGGCTAAACGTTGATATTCTATTTGCTAATTTTATGAAAGAAATAAGGATAAATTTAGACTCTGTGAAAAAGAGATGCTTGTCAACCATGAATGCAGATGAATCTGATGCTATTTGGAATAACTTCATCTCCAGATTCAACACTGTTGCTTCAAATCTAAATAGTGTTTGCTCTGATGATGCGAAGATCAGATTTGCTGAGACTGCTAGAACCATGCTATGGAATATGAAAATATCTCCACCTTTGCTTCTTGAGGATGTACCTTCATCTTCTGGAGTATCTGCTACAAAAACTATTGAAGGATCTGCTTCTGAAGTCATTCTGGAAGAGAATCCTTTGGCTCTGACAACTGTGGACAAACCATATGCATCTGTGGCTCCAGACTCTGTAACTCTCATGGATATTGACTATGTTTCTGCTCCTGCATCAGAATCTGCTACGTCTACTTCTTCTGAGATCAAGAAAGAGAGCCCAGAATTAGAAGATAAGATTGCAGTTCTGGAAGCTGGTCAATCTGAGATCAAGTCCTGGATGGCAAGGCAAGATCAGAAGACTGAGAACATTGAAAAATGGATGTCAAAGCAAGAACAATCTTCATCTGAGATCACTCACCTTCTGAAGATGCTTCTCTCCAAACAATCCTAGATTTATGTTTTCTTTATCTGATGTTTGAACACTTGTTTTATATTTCTAATCTGATGTTTTGTCTGTTCTACTTGACTATTTGAATGAATTAATGAATCTGAATGTTTTCTCTATTTGATTGTATCTTTTCTCTCTGTTTCCTTTTATTTGTCTTTAAAAGTTTTCTTTTTGATTATGACAAAAAGGGGGAGAAAATGAAATTCTGACTGTTCAAATAAACTTTACCTGAATGGAATTCAGACATATCAAATTATAACTAACGTGAATTTTTAGTATTTCAGAACTAATGATAAATCTGACAAAATCCTTTAAAGTTACTCTGAGATCCTCAGATCAAGTTTTAACCAATCAGGCTCTGATTCTGAAACGTTCATCCAAATCAAGCTCTAATTTTTTTTTGGAACAATTAGGCTATGATTCTAAAAAGAATACTCATGCAAAAAGGGAAGTTTCTATTTTTTCTTAGTATTCAATTCAGGGGGAGATTCATAATCTCAGGGGGAGTTATAATTATATCTTTATTGAACAAAATTTCCTATGTTTTTGTCATCATCAAAAAGGGGGAGATTGTTATAACACAGATTGGTTCTTAGTTATATCTCTATGTTTTGATGATAACACTTACGAAATTTTGTATTAAGAAATTATATACTCTAAATTTGTTCAAGTATTTTTGCTGCAGATATTAAATTTAATATCCTTCTGAAAGCAAAAATAGATCTGAACGTTGAACTACGCAAGGCTCTGAAGCGTCAGAAGCATCTCTTAGAAGACTCTGAGCGCTGCCTACAGAAGACTCTGAGCACTTCCTACAGAAGGATCTGAAGCAGAAGCTACAGAAGCATAGACTGAAGACTTTGTATGAAGAGTTTCAAGCACTGTTTTTCATAAGACTCTAATAGTACTGTACGCTGCAAGTACTGAGGATCTGATCTCTAAACTCTGCTCTAATTAATCTCACGCTGAAGCACACTTGCTGCAACACTCTGATACAACAAACTCTGAAGAACATCAAGACTCTGATCACTCAAGGCTCTGATGTTAATTGTTGTGAATTTAGAAACTTGTTGAAGAAGAATTCAAAGTTATATCCATTGGTTATGTCAAACGACTCTTTCCTCTTTTATGCTAGACACAAGAACTCAAGCAAAAAGGATTTCTCTGAACGTTCTACTTCTAGGAAAGGTCAAGTGATGTGAAGACAAAAGGCTACAGCTACTTTGTAGTACACGGTCTTCAAGCTTGCAACGTCTTGGACTTCTAAGTCTATAAAAGCAAGCCTTCAACAACTTTCTTCAGTTGACGAAATTATCCAAATTCATTGAAAAGCTCTCATACAAATTATTATTCTTTGCTGAATTTATTTAATACGTTCTTAAACTTAAGTGTAAATCACAGTTGTGATACAGCTTTCTTAGAAGCATTTCAAACACTTGTTTAGTTTACATTTGATTGTAAAAGTTTCTTGAGAAGACCAAGTTGTGGTCAGTAGTTCTTGAGAAGACTAAGAACAGTTGTTCTTAGTGGTTGTTATTGTAATCAGTTTGATTATAGTGGATTAAGTTCTTGTGGAGAAAGGCAAATCACTCTTGATAGGGTGGACTGGATTAGTTGAGTTCAACGAACCAGGATAAAAATCTTTGTGTTTTTATCGCTATAATATTTTCTAAATCCTTATTCAACCCCCCTTCTAAGTATTTTCTCACCTTCCTTATATATCTTTATTTATTATGTGGCATTGTTCTAAATATGCGTTTATATTATGTTAGAGTTATACAAGTATTCAGAGCACAAAGAGAAGCAACAGTGCCAAAAAGTAAGGCTAACAACATTAGCTGGATCAGAGTGCAGGTATATTTTCCCATTTTTGACTGTTATAGTGGTCCTACTTGATAAAAATATTTAAACTAAATATCTTGATAAATGTTCGTTTATTTTTTCCATTTACAGTGTCCTCGTCAGCGCAATGGAATTGACTGCATATATTTTGTATTGCGCTTTATGAAATAAATTATTCATTCTGGTCAAATAGAGATTCCAATCATGGTATGGATCAATTCATAAATTATATGATTCGTTTTAATAATTAACTGATATTTCATCTGAGTAATTAGTTTTAAAACTAAATCGTGCATGCTCTGTTATATTATGTAGTACTTTGACGAATTCAAGTGCGGCACTTACTTGAAAGCAGGATTGGAAGAAATAAAGGAGGAATGGTGTCAATTTATTCTTGAGTTGAGAATTGTATAAGGTATATGTATATGGAAGAAATATTTATGGACATCATATATATTTGTAAGGTTAACAGATTTGTAATTATATGTAAACCAACATGTATTTGTGATGTTTTAATTCTGAGGAACGGATTGTGTTGTAATATATTTAAGCAGGTTTATGTGTACTAAAATGATTTATTGTGTATATTGCAAAGTGATGAATACACATAAATAAAGGCAAAGTAATTGTTATATATAAGGTCAATGTGTTGAATTAAAGACCTGAATTATAAGCAGAGAATGTAATTGTTATAAGCAGGTTTATTGAAAAATATATAAAAAATGTGATTATTTTAAAAAAAAAAATTTCAAATTCGTGAAGAATAGACAACGTTTTTACAAAAAAGCGCGGCTAAAGGGGGCACAGGGAGGTCTAAAAAAGCGCTGCTATAGGTGGGAAAGGGGGGTCTAAGAAAACGCTTCCTAAAAGCGCTGCTAAAGGGTGGGTCTAAGAAAGCGCTTTGAAAAGCGCTGCTAAAGGGGGGGGGGGGGGTCCTATGAAAGCGCTTTCCAGAAGCGCTGCTAAAGGGGGGGGAGGGGAGGGGGAATAGGCAGCGCTGCTAAAGGGAGAAAAAAACGCTGCTAAAAGTGCTGGTTAAGGGAGCCTATAGCAGCGTTTTTTCCATAAAAAAACGCTGCCTTTACCTTTAACAGCGCCACTTTTGGCAGCGCTTTTAAGCGCTGCTAAATGTCTTTTTTGGCATAGTGAAACCTAAATCTCGCCTGTAACATGTCATAGGTTTATTTTTAGGCCTGAGTCTGGCCTTTTATAAGGCGTAGTTAGCCTGTCAGCCTACATAAAAGTCTGTTATTTTAAATAGACTAACAAACTAAAAGATCAATGAAACTAAAAATTTGTTTACGTTGAATTATTTCAACTTACCTATTAGCATAAGTTTTTTGAGATTATTTATTTAAGATAACTTATAAAAATAGCCTATAACATTGTTCATAAGATATTTTCATAAGTTCTCCAAAATAATCAATTTTTATTTATATATTTAATTCAAAGTGCAAAAACACACACAAAATAATATTTAAAAAAATTAACAACATAATATATCTTCCGTCTATCAAATTTAAATGACTTTGATTTACCTGATATCTTCTCTCTATCACCCTTTTCTTGTAGGTACTCTCTCTTCTTTTCTCTTGAGATGAATAAATTATTTGTAAGAGTATGAATAAGTTATATGTAAGGATGTTGGTAGTCCTCCTAATTATTATTATTATTTTTTATTTGGTTGATTGTAGCTTATTATTATAGTTCCAAGATATACTGATATTCAATAATTTGAAGTTTGAAATTGTATGACTCATTTTTAATTAGTGGCAACTATTACCTAAGAACTTGTGAAAACTAGTTATAAGTATCAATTTATCATAAAACAATTCCAGGAAATAGTTTCATAAATTTTTATATTAGTAAATAAATTTAAATAAGTCAAAGAATTGTCTAAAAAAGAAGTTGAAGCTAAAGTCAAATTGAAAATGCCAACTACCAAACACAAGCTACAATCATTCAAAGCTATAAAGTACATTCAACACTCTCATTTCCCACACTACAATTACAATCATTCAAAGCTATTTTCAACCTAAAAGTCCAAATTTTAAACCACTTTTCCTATTTCATACACAATCATATCCACCCTCCAATCACCGTCATTGGATTCCCCAATTCGTTTCATCCAACGATCCAAATCACATCACGAGATCACTCTCATCATGTTTCATCAAATCTAGCTAGCACCATCAACTTCAACACCAAGACACAAATGCTGAAACAACAACAATAAAAAATCAACAAAAATGGACATGATTCCTGGGAAAATCAGAAAACGAGGATGTTCCTCCTCCGCTTCATCGTCTTCCTCCGTGATTCAAAACTACCGATTCAAGAGAGCTATTCTAGTAGGCAAAAGAGGCGGATCCACTACTCCCGTACCCACGTGGAAGCTTCTGAGCTCCAGATCTCCGGCGGCGGCGATGCGGATAGTTGAATCGCCCAAGTATCCGCCGTCGTTGCAATCGGGGAGTAAATCGAGACAGGTTCCGGTGTCGGCGAGGAAACTGGCGGCCACGCTTTGGGAAATGAATGAGATTCCTTCGCCGAGTGTGAAGGAAATGCGCGATAATGGGAAGATGAAGAAAGAGGGCAAATCGAAAGATAGGGTTTCGACTGTTCGGTCTATTCGTTCTGGCTCTTTGCCTCCTCATTTGTCTGATCCATCGCATAGTCCTCCATCAGAGGTAAATGTGGAATATTCTGAGTGCAGATCATGCGTTGGTCTGGAATAATGTTGAGATTTAATATATGTATTACCTAATTTGTTACTATTTGGTTTTGAACAATGTTTTATAGAGTAGTGTTAATTTTTATTTATTTGTTGTAGAGAATGGATCGATCTGGAATTGGTAATCGGCATAGAAGAACACCGAGCAATTCTCATAGGATGAGGATAACAGAGCACCATGTTGGACCTTTGGATTCTCTTAGCAATGCCAGTGTTATGGAGGTATGTTATATGAAGCTTTATGTTGAGACAATTTCGAAAATGTGGATGATATTTTTTCTATTTGTTGTTGGAATAATTAACTTGTATATCAAGTAGGTAATTGATTGTCTCATTGGTACATTGTAAATTTGCGCCGCAAGTGGGGATCCCCACAAGGATTGTCCCATTTGGGGACCTAAAGATGGGAAATTTCTCTCCGTAGGAACGGGGATGGCCCCTGAAGACACTTCTGGGTCGGGGACGGGATCATATCCCCTATCCTATAGTTTACACCCCCGCCTAAATTACCATTACCATGATATCTTTGAAAATATATAACTTTCAATTTATACGTTGTTTTATTTGTTTTTTCATATAATTTTTTTAGTAAAAAATTAAAACATATATGTAATCTTAGTAAAAGAGAGAGATCAAAATGATTATTTTAACTTATAGAAGCTTGCAAGTTTTGGTGGTCAAGACCATCATGGCATTGTTGGGGAGTCCAGACTCCAGAGAGTGTCAGGAGTGTAAATGAGTTAAACATTCAGGATCCAAGAAACCTTAACTTCACATATCTTGATATCCATCCAAAACCTTGAGGCATCAGGTATATGAGTCCTCTCTCTCTTATACATCAACATTTCTTTAATTTTTAGTCGATGTGAGACTTAACTGCTCACGTTTGAATTCCAACAATCTCCCAACAATTGTGAGTCACCCACATCACTAGCTTTGATTCACATTAGGATCTCACTCCCGCTCCCCCACGAGTCTAACCATGACTTTGATACTACTTATTGGGGAGTCCAGGAAGTGCTATAAGTGTCAATAAGCTAAATGTTCAAGATCCAAGAGACATTGATACCACATATTCACCCAAAATCTTAAGGCATTAGGTATATGGATCCTCTCTTTTACATCAAACATTTCCTCCATTTCAAGTCGATGTAGAACTTAACCATTCACACTTGAATCCTATGGTAAAACCTATGTAAAACTTTTATGGGAAAAATGAAATGATGATTGAGCACGAAATGAAATCAACAAGAGTTTGACATGTGTTCACTTTAAGTCATTGTTTTAGATAAGGAGAATACTTATGTACAGTGCCTTAGGCGCAGTTCAACCGGTTCTTTATGTAAATGTTCCAATACTGCATTGCTTAAATGATTTCATGACGCATGGGTTGACAATAATTTACATCAGTTTTGTTGAATTCCAGTACAAAACCGAACGAACAATGCATAAAGTACTGCATGTAAGTATTTTCCTTTAGATAATTTCTCTATCCGCCCCCTTCACGTTACTGGAAGCATGCATTTGGTAGTGTATTTTGACAAATTTGAGCAGTATATGGGGGTGAATTGAGAGACTATATCAAAATGCTCAGTGGGTGCCTACTTCCAAGGATTTTGTATGCACACAGTTCGTTGTCGATGTGCATCTTTCATTGTATATTTTATGCATCTACTAGTTCGATGGCATTACTGACAGATAAATCTTCATGACTGTGAGTGAATGGAAGATTTACTATAACAGATTATGATATGCCAATGTGTTCTCTATTCGTATCAGAATGGTAAAACTGCATATCAAATTTAATTTTAATTTTTTTGTTTCTTTGAATGGAGGGTTTGATTTAGTTCTTTATTGCTTTCATGATATGCTTTCATAATACCATCTTAACTTTCTGATAATTTAAATTATCTCTAAAATAACATGTTGTGCATGTCTTATAATTGCATCTTGGTTTTCTTGCAGATTGAACCCAGATCTCGAGCACAGACCCCTGCTTCATCTATTGTGGGAGTTAAACCGCGTTTGAAAGATGTCAGCAATGCTTTAACAACATCAAAAGAGCTACTTAAAATTATAAGCCGCATGTGGGGTCATGAAGACCGTCCTTCGTCTAGTATGTCCCTTATCTCAGCTCTGCATGCTGAGCTCGAGAGGGCTCGACTACAGGTCAATCAGCATATCCAGGAACAACGGTCAGATCAGAATGAGGTAAACTATGTAATAAAGTGTTTTGCTGAAGAAAAGGCTGCTTGGAAAAGCAAGGAGCGAGAAGTTGTTGAGGCTGCGATTGAATCTGTTGCAGGAGAACTTGACGTAGAGCGGAAGCTTAGGAGACGGTTGGAAAGCTTGAACAAGAAGCTTGGGAGAGAACTGGCTGAGACCAAAGCATCTCTTCTTAAGGTGGTGAAAGAGCTTGAAACTGAGAAGAGAGCGAGAGAAATTATCGAAAAAGTATGTGATGAGTTAGCAAGAGATGTCGATGAGGATAAATCTAAGATAGAGAAACAAAGGAGAGTATCAACAAAAGCTTGTCAGGAGGTAGAGAGAGAGAAAGAAATGATGCAGTTAACCGATATGTTACGCGAGGAGAGAGCTCAGAAGAAACTCTCCGTAGCAAAATATCAGCACGAGGAGAAGAATGCTGCTGTTGATATGCTCAGGAATCAGCTTGAAGCTTTTCTGGGAAACAAACAAATTAGAGAAAAAGGACGTAGTTCCACTCACTTGAATGATGAAGAAATTGCTGCATATCTGGGAAGAAGCAGATTAGGAGGCAACCATCATACCGAAGATAAAGAAGACGATGAAGGGGAGGTTGACAATGGAGTAGAATGTGAAGAGGAATCCGGGGAAAGCGACTTGCATTCTATAGAGTTAAATATGGACAACAACAACAAAAGCTATAAATGGACCCACCCTTCTGAAAGCAGATTCGATACAAGAAACTATCCAATCGAGGAAGAAATGAAAGGTAGGAGGTCTATCTCTGGGAGAGCTTCTAGGATAAGCACATCTCTGCAAAGGAGTATATCAGATGTAGTGGAATGGGGTGTCCGAGATGATGAGAAGCTCCTAAATTCAGGAGATGGAATAGAGTGGGAAAGCTTTTATGAACTGGAGAAGCAAGCTCAAAGAAAAAGTCACGGCGATGAAATACAAAGCTATAAATCGGTGAAAGGTTTAAAGGACCAGATATTGGCTGGTTCCAGGCTTGGATCTTCTAAAGGTTACGCCAGTCCAACTAGGCAATTTTCACAACCTTGGCCGTCACGAGATCCCACAAATACCTTCCAAGAGAGGCATGCTACAATACAGAGTTCTGGTCAAAAATCAAGGTTAGGGGAAGCCAGAGGAGACTCCCCGAATGTAAGGAAACCTAAAAGGTGAAAAAATGATAAAATCTTCTAACTGCCTTGTTTGCCAAGCGATATCATTGACAAGGAGAAGTCGAAAAACGTTTTTCCTCCATGTCATGTTTTATTTTGTTGATAACCATGTAATGCTAAAGTTGCAGCTCTCGCTGCTTAGTTTTTCATCAGACCAATATGCTTGTATGGTCTTGTTTGTAGAGTTCAGGACAATTTGTTATAAGTATAACCATGAGTTTTTTCTTTTCTCTTGTAACATATGCTGATGTTGAGTTGATTAAGAAAATTTGTTTTTTTTTCTTTACCTGTTTATCTGTTGATGCTGATGAATTCACAATTAGTTTGATTCAGCCACTTTGATATGTTGAAAAATGTGGTAAAGATATTGTAGGTGGAATTGAGGAAGGTTGTGAGCATCGTGGTTTCCTCATTCCTAGCCATTCATTGATGTGACCTTGATATCGTATTCATCATCGATTAATACTTTATTTGTGTCAACATACTTATCCTTCGGTCGAGATTCAACAGATCCCTCGACCACTCTTTGATCAGTAAACTAACTTCTTACTCCATGACACAATCACACTTGTTTAACAATAATCTCAGATGACAACGAAATAGAATCGAGAGTTTGCTCAGAGCATCCACACTCATCAATTACATTTTGGTTCTTTAAACGGGACTCACATAATTTTTTATAGGTTTAATTGCAACTATGATCCCCCTATTTTGTATTTTTTTGGGTTTTGATCCCTCTATTTTAAAAACCACCATTTTGGTCCCTATTTTAAGTTTTAAGTTTGATTTTAGTCCCCTCTCCAATTTGAGATATTTTTTTAATGATGTGGCACTTTCCAAGATGACGTGGCAATGCCAAGTCATTTTAAAATTAATTTGTGACTTTAATTATTGATTAGGATAATTAATTTATTAATATTATTTTCATTAAAAAATAAATAAATTATTAATTTTTTATTATTAATTAATTAATCAAAATTTTATATGAAACACTTTAAGCCTAACTTTTTTGTCTCATGTCTTTGGTCTATCTTTTTAACACACAATTGGTTTATTGTATTTGTGTAAGATATATAAACACTAAAAACATTTATAATGAAAACAAGGTGAGACTTTGATGGGTTGGTGACTTTATAAACTAAATTGTATTTTATCAACTTCAGTGATATTTTTACTGTGTGCAAGTGTTAGCACTAATACTTTTTTTTGTCAAATCCTTAATGAACAAGGAAACAAATCATGAACTGTGATGAAAATGTGAAATATTCCTAAAAGACCACTGAAAATATAAATATTCTTTCTTAGCCTTACAAAAAATGAATAAAGCATGTGATGTGTTTTTCTATGTAGCATTTGGGATTCATGGTTGATGCAGCTATTAAAGCCTCTTGATATTAAAATTATGCCATTTGCCAATAATGGTGAATTGACAATATTAGAAAATTGATGGATAATCCTGAAGAAAATTAATTCCACTTTCTTGTCTGTTGCAATGCTTATGGCGTAAAATAATTAGTTAATGCTTGACACAAGGGATTCGGTGATTTGCCGAAATTTGCTGAAACTAGTCTATAGATTACAAAAGCACCATGATGATTGTGTGACAGTAATTTTTTATTACTATATTTTTTCGTTGTATTTGTTAAGCCTCCTGCTTCATTTTATTCTTAAATTTTAAATGCATTCTTATTGCTTGACCAAAGACTAAATTATCACTAGTGTAGCATCTAAAGGAAGATATGAAGTTAAGCTACTTGGCTCAGGAACTAGTACATAGTGATCACTTAGCTCCACAATCTTGGTAGACTTTTATGAAACATTTTTTTATGATTATTCATTATGCCGAATGTTATATATCCAGACTAAATTTTTAACCCATAAAGTCATTTTCTCTAATTATTATCCATCACTTTTCCTTAAAGCTTGTGCTGTGAGCCAAAGTTTCCAAACCTTTGCAAATTTATTGTTTGTAACTTTCTATTTATGCTAATTTATTCTGGTTTATCATTATTGTTGAATGCTCTGATAGGTGCGCCAAGGGAAATTGCTACAGCCTTCAGAAAGATCATGAAACTGCGCTGAAGACTTTTCAACGAGATGCGCAACTAAATCCCAGATTTGCATATGCACACACCCTTTGTGGACATGAGTATGAACATTGTCTTACCATAATTTTCTAATTCATGAGAATCGGTGTCCACTAACAGGTGCCTTTATATGCTTTGTTTATTTAAATTTGCTCTTCTACTTCTCTATTTGTTAAGTTATTACAAAGTCACCAACCCACCAAAGTTAGCCAATCCATTCCCATTATAGAGAAGATATATTCTGTACAATATTATTGGAGGGAAAAAAAGCAGTGATATATAGTTTCCATTATTTAGCTTACAAAGTCACCAACCCACTAAAGTTCCACATTGTTTTCATTACAAATGTTGTTAGTGTTTATATATCTTACACAAACACAACAAATCAATTGTGTGTTAAAAAAATGGACCAAAGACATGTCCTTAAAAGATTAGGTCCAAAGTGTTTCATATAAAATTTTGATTAATTAATTAATAATAAAATATTAATAATTTATTTATTTATTAATGAAAATAATATTAATAAATTAATTAATCTAATGAATAATTGAAGCTCAAATTAATTTTAAAATGACTTGGCATTGTCACGTCATCTTGGATAGCGTCACATCATTAAAAAATGTCTCAAATTGGAGAAGGAACTAAAATTAAACTCAAAACTTAAAAAAGGGACCAAAATGATGGTTTTTAAAATGGAGGGATCAAAACCCAAAAAAATGCAAAATAGGGGGACCATAGTTGCAATTAAGCCTTTTTTATATTATATTACACTTCTATATTTTCTAAACAACTCAACTACATTTTTCAAATATTCATATTACTCATAAAAAATTTTAAATGGGTCCTACCAAATCTCACAATATATCCAACATTTATATTATATAAAACAATAACTGAAACAATTTAATTCAAATGGGTCCAGCTGGCATTAGAAAACGTTCACACACTAAAGAATGGTTACAAACTAGAGAACCTTTTTTTTCTCCTCAAATATCCATTATCTCTGACACTAGAAACTTTGATTTATGTGTATGAACGGATATACAGTAGCAATATTTATGCTCTCACGATGAGAACAAACAACACAAAGGTTTTATTGAACCCCGCTACTCTGCTTGGCTAACAATGCCAAATGTTTCATCTACCTTCACTGTACTAGATATATTTCTTTCACTGTGAAATTAAAAGATTCAATTACACTAAGAAATTTGATATGTGATGATAAAGAACAATGACAATCAAAATAAAAGTCTTTAATAAAAGTTAGAGTTAAATATATTTGTATTCCCTATAAAATTAACAAAAACAATTTTTGGTCTTTATAAAAAAATAGTGTGTTTTGATCCGTACAAAATAATTATGCACGTAGGTTTGATCCCTACTGTTAAACCAATGTGTGTTTTTGAATAATTATTTTGCAGATATGTTTAGAACGCTATAAAAAGTTTCTCGAAAAAAAAAGAACTCAAAATTTGATTTATAAGTCGAGATTTTCATTACTTTTATTATTATTTTTAAAATTTAAAAAATTTAAATTTAATTCTTCTCATTTTAAAAAATTATATAATTTGGTAAAGAAACATTTTATAGTAATCTGAAAACGTATGAAAAAAATTATTCAAAAATTTAAAAGTTTAGGGGCAATTAAATAGTTCTCAAAATTTTGAAAAATAGGAAGGATTAAAATAGTATGCATAAATTTTTTGTAGGAAGCAAAATATGTCATTTTCTTTGTAGGAACTAAAAATGAAATGTGAGATATTTATAAGGACCAAAAACATATTCAACCGTAAAAATTATATCTATATAAGATAAGACAACAACTTAACTTGACGGAAGAAGATAAAAGACAAGTAACATGATAACTTGTTTACCCAGTTGGATCAAACGATCTATTCAGATGAAAAGATCAACTATCATATTCACTATAGTTACAAGAGTTGTTACAAAAGATTACAATTGAGTTACAAGAAAATAGTCACCCAAGTTTCTAAGAACAAACTCTACTTTTTACTTAAATATTTTTCAAACTCTCCAACTCTCTATATATGAATTACATAAACACAAGTGTTTCTCAATTCTCCTTAGATGTCTCCAAAGGTTTCTCAAATTCCAAAAACACACTATTGGGAATTTACCTTTGTGTTTTTAAGATTACCACTACGGTTCACAAACCCTTCTCTCTATCTTTAGCTCTAAAGTTCTGAAGGTTGCGAAGAGAAGAATGATAGAGATGCATAACCCATTAATGAACGAATCCACAAACCAAAACAATGAAGCTAAATGCACGTGAACCAAGAAAATTAGACTCGAGCTCCAACATATCAAACCGTCAATTGGACCCGGACTCACTGTCGCACCGCCGCCATTGGCTATGCCTATAAGCTGATTCTAATTTATTCAATCTTAAAACATGTTTCCTTTTTCTTCGTCACTTAAGATTTTAAGGTATACTTCAAAACAATCTCCACCTTGACTGAAAATCATGATGATGCCAATTTAACCATCAACGACCTTGTAGTTCTTGGCCAATTCAACATCTATTAAATAATTTTTATCAAGTTAAAGTCTCGCTTGAACCTTGATTTTTCCACTTGCATCCATTTGCTCATAACCACATGGTTTTTTTAGCTTTAGTAGTCTAACAAGGCAACAAGTATGATTCTTCAACCATTTTTGACTCCACATGCTTTGAGTGTCTCTTTGAAGGTCTCTGTTTCTGATTTTTACAACCCATTAGTCACATTCAAAGCTTAACACCCAATACCTACATAATCATCCCTTTAATATAATACAATCTATGTCATTACCTTATCATGGGTCAAATGATAAACAAAGACATTTGTAATCTTTCCCTCACTTTTACTAGTATTCATAGTAGGAACATTCACTTCAAACTGAGTATTCTCTACCA